CGGCTGTGTTATTTTATGATTGGACCACTGAAAGCCTTTTTTGTTTGCCTAATGAAACAGGTTGAGGGGTATGTTTCTGAATTAAACCGTGTTTATGTATGTGTCTGCGCACATACTTGCAAACGTGTGCTTGCATCCATTGCATTTGCATGTCTGTTATATGGGTGCCCACATTCTTTTTGGTGTATTAGAGTTTCATTGGCAGGATAAGAAGCCATAGCCAGAGACCAAGATGAAAGACATCATTTTGTTTTCCCTCCTTTCCAAAAAGGTTGTTTTAGGTAGGCAGCCATTGCCCATAATTGCTGAAACAGGGTCAAGTATTTGTCTGTCCTGCTTGTGATTTACTATGGTGTCTGCGCCTTAGTAAATTGAAATAAGGTCTGTGTTTAAGAGTGACCCAACCTCAGACTGACCACAAAGATTGTTTAATGCATAGCATTCTGCTGGTTTATGAACACATCTCACTCAAATCCCTCTGTGTGATGTGAGAAGTTATGAAGAGCATGCTTGTCATATAATTTCCTATTAATCAATTATGTAAATATGAGGTTCAGCATCACAGAGGAGGCGAGGGATACAAATCATATTATTAAACAATTATAGTTGTGAATTTATTACAAGACTTCAAATACTGTAACAAGGATTTTCAATAAACCAGGATTCATATTATAATATATTAAAAATAGTAATAATGTTCATGCTTACTTGACAAAGAAATGACTTTAGCAACTTTAGGAGTGCTGTGCCATAACATTAAAATGAATCACTAAGAATGGAGCTTGTTAATATTTATTCATAATTTATAAGTAATTATAGTTTTAAAACAACAGTAATGACACTGATGTATATTGTCTTCTACACTGTAAATAAGCTCCTTGTAGCTCACTGTTAAATGTTTTTGAGCTTCTGTGGTTTTGTTGGAATTCTGCAGTCTAAATTATGCTCTCAAATAGCAGTGGGTTACTGAGGCTATGGCACGGGTCAAAGTGCACACTTGATAGCTTTGTGTACTGTGAGCAAGAACAATCAGTCCTTCAGCAGACCTTCTGCACATGAATACCTCTGAACAGTTAATTGTTGCCATGGCAACAGAACAGAGAGGGACACTGATATTAGGTGAGTGGATCTGCAAGAAAGCGATCCTTCGCACTAACAGTATGAACATGCGCACGAGCGTAGGTCAACATTTTCTCTGTATCACCTCTCAAGCCATTCAATACTGACAAAAGCACTCTTGTACTGCAGGATTGTGGAAAGTTACTACTGCTGGCAAGATCATAATCTAAGTCACATTGCATTGAGTTAGGCTTTCACGTAGGTGGGAAATACTGGGAAGAGTTACTGAATCTCCGTGGGACTATCAAAGAGAGGGCAAGGGATTTTATTATAAATTTGAAAAAGCATAAAAATATGACAAAGGTGGAGACTGGGCATTTATATCTAATTAACCAGTGTAAAAATATACTATGAGTTTTGTTGCCTTCAGTGGTTAACATCATAATAATAATTGTCATAACTACTTGCAGGCCATACTTCACACTAACAACTGTGACTGGGCACTGCAGTGCTATGAGCTAAATGCTAACATAAACATGCTACCATGCTCACTTTCCTGGTGATGGTATAGGTTAAAGCTTCACTGGTTGTGCACATTGACTGTAAAATTGATGGACATGCTGACCGCTCCCAGAAGTGAAGCCACCGTGACTTGATCGCCCCCTGCTGGCTGGTGGAACTATAAGTCATAAATCCTGCCTCCTCCATGTTAGTGGATGGGACATGAGCCCTGCTAAAAACTCAAAGTCCAATGAATTTTTCCCAGATGTCACTTTTGTGGTTTTTGGTAGATATTGTCACATGGATGTGTGTACAAGTGGTCATTTTTTTGGTAAGTTTGTTTTGAATAATTTATTTGATTATATGAAAAGAGGTATATTTCAGTTAATTTGACAGCTTTTGGTCGCCACTGTGCAGAATCTGGTTGCTAAAAAGCAAGATGGCAGCTGCTGTATTTATGATATTTTGGCTTCATTTTTATATAGTGGAGGGAAGCGGTAATACCATCATTTATATGTCAGTATAGGATCATATGGCTCAAAGGCAGTATTTGACTTGATGTGCCATACTCCAAATTCAATTATATAAGGAAAAACAATTAATCAAATGGCTGATTACTTTAACTGTAATTAAAATGAAACAAATATAATTCTGCTGAGAGCATAATTGACCAGGATATCCTGAGTGAGTCTCCAGGGGAATTACGTCATCACAGTGTGCCTGCTGTGGTGATGTTATCAGGGACAGCTGCATGGGGCAGAGCCAGGGCTGAGCCAAGAGGCAGCCAGTTGCCAGCAGATCCCCTCCACAGACACCCACCTGCTTCGCATGTCTAGTTTTCCTCTAAACCCCTCAAAAGGATTCCCTGAGTTCTCTTCTGTGACCACTGGCCCTTTGTCTTTGAAGTCATGATCCTGTGTGTTTTTGTGACATTGAAGTCATTATCCTGTGGTCTATTCATGTCACGTGTTTGATCCAAAAGTTTGTTTGAAGTTTTACATAATGTAAGTATTGCTCACAAGCCAAAAATATTAGATCTGCATAAACCAAGGCAATTTTTAACAACCAGTGATGGTTCAAACCAATCACTGCTGTACCCTCTTTATGGACTGGAATTTCTCAGACCAGTGAAATTTACACTTTATGTAAAGGGACGTCGGCATCAATGGCTAGCAGTGGCTGGCGTGAACAGGACAGTGATACTAATTTTATGAAAAACCCTTTAAGAACAAAAAGCCCAGCCTAGCTTAATACCATCAATTAGGGGCTGCTCTGTCATCTGACTAAAATCCCACACCCCATTTATGTGATTCATACAGGAAAATATGCCTCTTTGTCTTCGAGGTCAACCAGCACTTTGGAGAAGCTGGCGGAGGGTCAGGAAACAGTAGTTGAGGGTGTAGGAGTGGGAATGAAGGCAGTAGTACTGGGGGTTGGTCTACTAGATAAGCCTTAGTATGAGGTCATTTTGAGTGAGAACTCATGTATTTTCATCTCAACTTATGGCAACATCTTTATAGAGAAACAGCTGGTGCTAAGAGGAATCAGTTGTACAGAATGAGAGAATAATTTCAAGGGTTCATTTCAATTGGAAGAAAATACTTTCCAATGTTAACAGATTAACAAAAAAAAAGCTTTTCTTTGAAATAATTATAAAGAATAATTATATAGTGTAATATTTTGCAGTCTGTGATACAGATGTATTAATTTCATGTCCGTTGTCAAAGCTGTTTATCTAATATTGAAATCTTCATTTACAACTTTTTGTCTTTGTTCTTTAAGTTGGTGTTGAGCTATTTGTTGGTAATATATGATGCCTGTCATGAATGTGAATTCTGCCCATTTAGGGAGAGATGAAATCAAAATCTAGCCATCATTCTCATTATGAGACACTGTTTAATGCAATGATTCCACTGCATTAAAAAAGAGGAGAGGATGCTCCAGGCAAGGTAGGAGAATGCCCTGCTAGCATGGCTCTGTAACTTTAAAAGGGCTTTTACTTTAATTTCACAGGTCAGAGCAGGTTTAGACTTGACGGGACACTCTCAGACCTTCTGTTCCAAAGAATCACCATTACAGGACGTTACTCACACAAGGTGCTGTCAGACCACTGCATCAGGATGCCAAAAACTGAGCATGTGACATGCGCATGTGCAGGTCATCACACTGTCATTCATTTACTATATATCAACTGTTCAGTAGTCAAAGTACTAGTGTATGTGATTTCATCAATCCTGTTTTATCAAAGCTTTATATCAACTGTTCTTTCTACAGTATTTCACATAAGCTAATGACAGTGATGACAGATGCATGCTTTGCGTTTGAGTAGCAGGGTGCAGCCCGGTAGTCTGTGCTGTCCTCAGTCCAACCATCTCTGCAGTTTGTGTCCAGCAGAGCTCACCATGGAGACTAAAATCCTTTTTGGCTCAGGTTGAGAAGAGATGTGCGCACGTTTGCGTGACTCATTATTAGGAATGTTTTATCATTTCTTAATGACGTGAAAACAACATGTGGGAGATTGGATGAGTTAGGAATGCTTCACATTGCATGGGCATCATTTTACGTAACCCTCTTATCTTGACATTCAATTACAGATTTTACTTTTTTAGTTTATCTTTGTACACTTGATACAGAAGTTATCCTCTATTTTTTTTATTAATATTGGCTATATTAATATCAACCTTAACAGAATATATGTTTTATTTAACATACTCTTTTGTGCTTCAGCAGTGTTCCTCTGTGAGCCTGGCTCTTTGATAGCGAATACTGTATTATTACAATTTGATTAGTCCCCACTGTTACCACAGCAATATCACAATGCTGAGTCTCATCAAATGTATCCCGGGCTAGAATGGAGGAAATATTACATTTGCTCTTTTTAATTTTGAGCGAAAAGTTGAACAGGGACATTGGCAGCCCAGTAGAGGAGATTAAAATGTGAATGCCTTCTCTTCTGTTTGCGAAAAAGGTTTGGAGAAAATTAGACAGGAAGTATGCGGCTTTCCCTGAAACCTAATGTTTCCTGTGGGAACTGAAGCATTGTTACACATTTATCAGCTTCATGGTCAACGTTTCCACAGAGTGCTGTGATTTCTGCAAAAATGGGCTTAGTTTTAGATTTTATTTTGCAGCAGTATTTCTCCTTGGATGAACTTTATCAGACAGTTTCTGTAGTCCTGTAGATTAACCCACTCCATGTCATTCCCTCCGTTTTTTTCACTAACAATTATTTGTACTTAGACCTGAGGAAAAAGGCACTGGTGACAGTGCACTGCGGCAACTCGATGTTAACGGCTATAGATAAATGTATAATGTATGACAAGGGAATATGGTGTAATACAGAAGGTTTCTGAAGAATTCCAAGCAATGGGCCAAGCTCCAAGTGTAAACCAGTCAGTACATTTTTATTCTGATCTTTTTATTCTTGTTCTGTCCCCCAGGTCAGAGTCAGGGATCTCCAAATTTACCCATCGTCTATCCCTCAAAGAGCGTCCAGCCAAAGCAGAGAAGGCTTCCTCATCCTACAGGAGACGATCGCTTAGTGTGGACTGGTAAGACCAAAGGCCATCTCTTAATCTGCTTACTACTGAATAGGTGAATTTTTCACTTATCATAACTGAAATCCAAAATGTCACACCCAACAAGAGCAAAGAAACTGCAAGTGAGCCTTGCTGCATTGCATCAGTGCTCAGAGTCAAGGCTGAGATGATGAAGATTTGGAGGCTGGTGTTTGGGGTGAAGGCAGAGAGTGGGTGGAGTGGTGATAGGGTCCTGCTCTGTCTCTGCGTCTGGGTTTCGTCGAAGAGTGCCAAGCAGCTTCAGTGGCGCCGGCTCATCTTGCTCTTGTAAAGCTCCAGTCCTCAGGCAGCCGATGAAAGCAGTTTGAAAGCTTTCCATCACGAAGCTGCCTTCCCGTCCCCACCCATGGGACCCCTTCCCAGTCTCCCTTCTTGTTGCTTTGCCTCCACTCATGTATCTACCAATCCATCCTGCCTTTCGTCTATCTGGAATCCCCCCTGAGTTTCCTGATATCTATTCTTGGCTCTTCCTCTATACTTCTCTCACTATTGGGAAAATAGCCCTGGGTTAAAGCGGATCTTACACTTCCTTGACACCTAATTTTGTCCAGTAAAGAAATTTCCAAACATTTATGGCTCTAAACAGTTTCCAGGTTTTTAATTGATGTGCTGGGAATACTGTAGCTATTCAGTAGAGTTACTTTGTGGTTTGTGCAGTTACAGGTATGGGATCTCTGAAGTCCTATCAAATCATGTTGGATCCAAGTGTGAGGTCTTATGAGGTCTTTTGTCAGCCTTATGAGACCTACTGTGTGGTCTTGGGCTGATGCTGTGATGTGTGGTCCATCAGCACCAGTGTGGTGTTAAGTGTATGGGCACCACTGGAGTGTATGTGCAGTGTGAGGTCCTTTACTGTAATGGCTCCATGTTTTTCTCCCATGTTGCTGGAGAGAGAGGAGACCTGGCCTTTAAAGTTCAAGCCCTGATTGATGTGGTCTGGTTTTAATGAAACACAGTGGGTAGATTGGACATGCTCATTTACAAGAGGGATGAAGGGAGAGACTCAGATTCAGACTTTCTGGGACGAGCCACTGTTACAGTGTGACTGGCCTTTAGTGACATAATAAACAAGAGACCCCAGGAGGAGAGATTCAAGATTTACAGCTGCATCATGTTACTGGGAAGGTGAAACCAGGTCGGTCCAGCTTTTGACAAGACCAGCACAGCTCCTCGAATATGCACAGTCATGAATACAGTCAAGATGGAAAACACGTGTGCTAGTAGCTTCAACTACAACCATCCCATGAGTCAGTTGCATTTTTGGAATGGTTCAGCATTTGGTCTGTTTAAGCCCATCCATCCATCCATTTTCCTCCGCTTATCCGCGACCGGGTCGCGGGGGCAGCAGTCTAAGCAAAGATGCCCAGACTTCCCTCTCTCCAGACACTTCCTCCCGCTCCTCCGGGGGAATGCTGCGACGTTCCCAGGCCAGCCGAGAGACATAGTCCCTCCAACGTGTCCTGGGTCTTCCC